ATTTTAAGATATTAAAGCAAGCATAAGATATGATAAAACAAACTCACTTATAGATAGCGGTATAAAGCAGACAAGACTACTCTGGACAACATAATTTCTCTGTTTACTAAATATGCTCCTCAATGAGTCGCTGCTTGATTACGTCATCGTGCCTTGCACAGCGCTGGTGGAGAGCCAATTAATGGCCGTTATATCTGAATATTACGCTCACAAACGCCAGATATGAACGATTCGATCATAGCGTTTTTCTCGGCCTTGATCGCTGCATGGCGTCTGGAATGGAATTATTTGAATGGCGTTATATGACGTCTTAAATGCCAAGGTACACTTGGAATACTCTCCTCGAAATACTCACCCTATTTTCGCAGGCATATAGCTCAGATATTACAGATATGTTTAGGTCTTAAAAAGGGCAAGGCCGTGAAACGCACCCAGAGGTCTTCAAGAAGGTGATTTCAGTTCAAAACCTGGCAGACATGTGGAACTTTCCCTTTAACACACGCCCGGATTGCCGGTTGAATGTTCTTCGTTCGGGTGAGGGAAGGGAATTTGATCCCCAAGATCTAAAACCCTAAGAAAGATAGAAACACAAAATTCACAGGTGTGGTTGGTCTGCATATATGATATTGCTAGGTCATGACCTTTGGGCCAAACAAGGTCATACAAGGTCAAGCTTCAGATTTGTGTCCAAGGTGCACCCAGGCCTACTCAGGCATCCACATTGTGGTAGGAAAAGGCCACTGGTGTTCATTCGACGTCAATAACCTTGTTTTACCTTAAGAAGATCATGGTGACCAAAACTTTATGCTGCTCTTTACATTTAAACAAGCGCTGAAAATGGCGCTAAGTGTTCCTATAAACAATGTGCGGACCTAGGTAGTATTAGGCCAGCGACCTATCCTGATCGTTCAAAAAGGCCATGAAAGATGTCTGTTGCGGTCCCTGTTATTACAAGGTTCAAAATAAGCACCAAAAAAACTTTCCCTTGAAGGAAGCTCTTGATTGAAAAAGCAGGTCGATTTCGACGTTGGTCTGACCGTCATACCTGGCCGTACCTCCAAGGAATTTGTTGCAGCCTCCAATTTGATGGTGTTATGGCCTACAAGCTATCTCGGAAATGTGTGGCTTCGTCTAACACTCCATTGTGACATTAGACTGAAGGAATGCGTAGAAAATGACTTTGCTGAGTGCAAACGCCTGACTGACCTACCATTGGTCAGCGACCTTACAAGGTGCATCTAGTTTATAATAAAAAAGCCTGCTATGCCATTGCCAGCAGCTATTCAAAGTTTGACGTGGCTACGGTGCCCCATCAGGAAATAGTTCTTCAACAAGCATGGGGGTAGTTAAATCGCACCACACTCGAACCAGTGTTAAGCTCATAAAAATAGCGCCGTTTTTGTGAGTTTGGAAATGCAACAAATATCCCGCATATGCGCCTTAATCTTAGGGGTTTACGTCTGTTACAATTACTGTATCGCTGTTTTGCTACAATCTGACCGCAAATGCCCTGCGTCCTAATCATGATACACAAACACACATGTACACGGAATGTTCCACATTTGAAGGTATTGATGTAAACATCAGATATGATGGGAAAAACTTATTTGCACCGCATATTACAGATCATTTTTGTCCCGGTCCACCTGTGTTCTCTCTTGAAATCCCTGCCAACGTTAGGAGACGGGCCTAGCATAAGAGGAGTTGGTATGACAACAAACTAAAACATTATACTTTTGTACAGAATGAGCATCATATTAATAGGGATGTGCTTAGGCTCCTGGTGTACCAGCAGTCCAGAACAAAACTCAATGCATTGTACTAGCGTGGTATTATCTATTTACTGATATGCTCTGGGAAACGGCGGTTTGGTGGGAAATGGGAAATGGGTGGGGTGGGGTGGGGTGGGGTGGGGTGTGGTGTGGTGTGGTGTGGTGTGGTGGTGGGTGGGGGAGGCTTTAGACCCTAGCAAAAGTGCAAAAATGGCGTCCCTGTGAGCCAAAATGATGTAAAAGTCTCTGAATTTTAGGCATTATGAGTTTGGAGTTATTATGCTCACTGCAATCGTTTTCATTACATCGGGACCCTAGCAAAAGTGCAAAAATGGTGTCCCTGTGAGCCAAAATGAGGTAAATGTCTCTTAATTTTAGGCATTATGAGTTTGGAGTAATTATGCTCACTGCAATCGTTTTCATTACACCGGGAGGCGCTAGTTAATGGACTTTAAAAAGCAAACAATGGTCATGCTGTGATACATACATAATAACAGAAATTTTGTCACCGGTATGAATTGACAGCAATCAGAATTTCCGTTATGCTTAGGTTAGCAACTAGCAAAAACCAGCTGATATTTTGAACGTCGAAGGTCAGTATAAGAACTGCAAACTTATATTGTCATCGAAAATTGGTTTCAGATGTTATATTTGAGGGCAGCTGCACCCCTCACAAAAGGGTTTGCTCAGTTGATGTCGGTAGCAAAACTTGCATTAGCAAACTTGCTTACGGTTTGATATTTTTTAAAGTCATTGCATGTGACGGAAACTCACGTTATTGAACGGCCATGGCTCAATATCGGAGCCTCAAACAAGACGGTGGTTGCAATATGCTATGCCCTCTCTTATTGTAGTCGAAATCTACGCTTGTTGGTGTTCAATGTCATGGATTATTGCTAACATTTGAGCATCTGAATTCTAACATACAGCGTGCGTCTTTTTCAATTTAACATGAACTTGGTAAGACAGGTAAGGTGTGCAGTTTGACGGTACCCATGAGAAATAGGAGCTTCTTGTTTTGGCGGGACTCTAGGCCTGCAGCATTGCACAAAATTTCATTCCTTGGAGCTTTAAGCAACTTTTGCCAGCTGTAATAATCATCGCTACACTGAGAAGGTCTCCTGCGCGGTCATGAGTTGGCTGGTTTTCTGTCTAATAAGTGGTCATTAACTGTATCGTTTTCCCATACAGCGTATCGGTATTTCCCAAGGGCGCGTGACAGAGTTATAAATAACATGTGTGGCTGGCTCCACATGACTAACGATTGTTATTGTTAATGAATGCCTACAAAATGAGTTCCAGGTCCACAAATTGCGTCCACTTTGGCCATACGAGCGGCACGAACAACACGCGAGGTACAGGTCGAGCAGGTCGGGTGACATTGTCGTCCTTGGGTCTTTATGACGCACTCAGCTACTGGGACTATTTGACGTCTACCTCACACTCTGGCGAGAGGGACGGGCACCGCGTGAATGACATTCGCAGGAAGATGGGACCGCGCCTACGACACTCCTACCCACGACACTACGACACTAAGGCACGCCTACACACTAGGACACTACGCCTACGACCCTGACGCATACGAGGCTTGGCCACTGCGATATCCTGAGCGCACGTCTCCTTTTTCTAATTTCACAACATTGAATGCATTCACTCCGTGTGTTCAGTCGTGCTTACTGCTGATAGCATTCAGCACGCTGAAGTTTCAGTCTTTGCTAGCCGTTGCTGACTGAGTTATCACTGAGGGCTTCGTTAACTTCGGGCTAGATGCTCGACTGTTCGAATGAGATCCTGCTGCTCCTCCAGTCCCTTCCATGCTATTTATTCAATGTGCCCGTTGGTATAATGTTTCGCACCGAGGTGGGACTAGGACTGATGTTTGCAGCCCTCAGCATTTTGCTAATTTCTCAGAATTTGATTGTTTGTTCGCAGTTCGCTTGTGGTTCACTACCTTCTTCGCAAAGTTATCTATTTATGTTACGTTCTATGTTCCCTGCAGCTTAAAAATGTGTCACAGGAGTAATAAGTTTGGACTGTGCAGTGATCGAAGGCCAAATATGTCGCCACGAGAATTGCGAGACTGCAGCAGTTTTGTAACATCATAACATTGCACTGTTACAAATGACGGAAACAGCTTCTATTGATTATATTCCATATGGTCATGGGTCCATGTCGTGCGGCGACTTAGCTTGAAGGCAAGGACGACGTGGTATGCATGGATGGGTACAAGAAGGAGGGGGTATATACAACGGGATGCGTTTTGAATTGTTTGTCGAAGCATTTCGGTTTGTTATGCAGCTGCAAGATTTGCTGGTCTTTTGACGAAGTATTTCATATATTGTGCATCGCGACAAATATGTAAATACTATTTCCTCTTATTTGCAACTGCACGAGGTTTCATCGAAGTAACAACCTGCATACTTAGTTGGGTGGATAGCAACACACAAAGAACCATCCCTCAACGAGGGCGTATTCCCACCAAAACCGTTCACAATGTTTGCAATACTTTTTGAAGAAAAAATCCTGATTTTCAAGGACTATAAGATGACCGAAAGGTAATGGATGACATCAGCTGCCAGATAAGGCGCTACAAAAGTAACTGCGTTTTCACACATATGCTGAACAAAAATGGGATATCACAATTGAGGCGTCATTCTGCTCAAAATTTATCCTTGTGTTGAACGACTGTGTTCATACAGTGAGAAGCGGTGAGTTAAATCACGTCTGCTGTTAAACTGACAGTTTAGCCTGAAATACTATCAACATGATAGAGCGAGCGGAAAACGTATGAAAGCGGCTCAAATGAATGTCTTCGCAAACCTATGTTACGTCGCTGTCACAGCTAGTTACTGTAACAACTGTTTAAGTCCGTGCGCACATACACGCACATGTGCACGCCGTCACCAAACACACACAGTCCGTAACGGGCGTGATCAAGTCAACCTATGACAACGCCGCACTCCTTCCCTGACGCGCCAGTCACAGCTGAAGCCGGCGCTTGCGGCGACTCCACCGTCCTCAGCGCCTGCCGTCTGTGCCGCAGCCGGAGCCAGTGATGCTGAGCCTGCTGCTGCTGCTTCTGGTCACCGGAGCGCTGTCGCTGGTCAGGGGCGCGCCGGCCGGGCCAGCGTGCGTGCCGGCCGAGCCGCGGCAGCTCGCGCCCGCCGGCCAGCTCCCGGCCGGCCTGCCCGAGCCGGGGCAGCGCCTGGGCGACGTGCCCGAGCCGGGGCAGCTTCCGGGCGGCGTGTCCGCCCCGGTCCAGGACTGGACAGCGGGCCCCGCTACCGCCGGGGCTCCGCCGCCGGGCGAGCAGGCCCCGCGAGGCGGCAGGTGGAAGAGAGAGGTGAGGCGACTGGGCGGGGGAGTCATGGGCGCACCCAGCTAGACAGATGCGGCTGGCCAGGGAGGGGCCGGGGAGAGGTTGACATAGCATGCCGTGAGGACGAGACTCGGGGCAGTCGAGATGACACGCAGCATGTGGGCTGCAGAGAAGGGAAGACAAGCGTCCCCAGTCCTCATGGCGCGGTGATGGGAACTAGACGTTTGTTCACGGTGGTGACAAGAATAAACATATTTACACTCCCAAGGCGGATGTTATTTTCTATTATCGTAACACGGTTATCAAAAAATAAATTACAAGCCTTGCCTGGCTACAGCTGCGAAGAAGAATTTGACTTGGTATGTTATTTGTGCGACAAATGGACAAGCTTAGCTTTCGAGTATACGCTCGGTCACAGAAACTATATTTGGCATCAGCATGTCTCAATGTCAGATGATGTGCGACCCGTTCTTTTGCAAACTACTAGCAAATACTAACTTGCCACAGTACCGAGAACGCTGGGCTTGATTAAATTGCAAGATTACATTGCAGCCTGCATCCTAGAGTAATACGGTACATAATGATTGCAAATAATGGTTGCGAAAAGGAGCTTTTAGTCACGGAGTGAACTGCTCGCCATTGGAAGTACTTAAGTGCTTTCTAAAAAGTACTGGCGCGAGAAATGTTTCTCGCATTTAAAGGCGAATAACTGACTTACAGAATGGTATGTCAGTTAAGTGAGATAAAAGGTTGCCGTTAACTGCCGACTGGGAGGGAAGCGATTGTTTAGCGATTGCCACCACCGCCTCCGCCCGTCAGGTCACCGTCTCAAATGCCCAGATGACGTGTACGAACAACGTTCCTCTGCGTTCCGGATTCTTGCTTTGAAAATGAGATGAAAACCTAGCCGTCTTCCAGCTCATGCTCATGCCCTGCAAGCTCAGGTGACACTCAGTGCCTGCCACTGCACAGTTTTAAGCTTGCATGTCATTTTCAGACCTGCTAGCCCAGACTCGCACCTATGCGAAGCTCACGAAAGCGGAAACTGAATTGTGGCTGCAAGTCAGCGAGTCAGGCGTTTGATGGGACGCTCTGATTGACATACATTATTCACCGCAATAGGTGTGTCTGGGTACAGCGCTGATGATATCGGTGGGAAGGTATTCGCAGTAAGTCTGGTTGACTTCTCTATATTTACCTTTATGGCCGGATGTCATCAGCAGTGGCGTTCTCCCGTGAGGTTTCAGGGGAATTGACCTTCGGTGGGCTGGGTGGTGCGGCCGCCCGCCACCTGCTCTGTACCTATGTGATGATTTCCGGCAGCCTGAGTGACCTTTTAATGGCAACACGTACGACTGTCGCTTTGCTCCAGTTATGTTGGTCCACGCATACAAAGGATGTCTGTCGGACTTGATTGACCGAAAGCAATGCTGAATTGTGGGTATGTATTTACGTATTTATGTACATACCCACATATTTATGAAAGCTTAGTTGTGTTTTAATGTATGCCTGATTTCAAAGGTTGAACGAATGATATTGATGACGTCACGCCAGTGGGTCCCTGTTATTTCGCCGCAATAGCTAGCTGACCAAAAAACTTTGCTCACATGATTCCCAGGAAGACATTTTTCAATTATCATGCTTCGAAGCATCGGCTGGGATACGATTTTTAATTCATGTTTACTCCTCCTTTGAGCTCCAAAGCTGTTCTTCACCGAAATACTTATCACTCCACCTTCACACACAGGGCTCCAGGGAACCCTTCCAAACTGCACATAAGGTGTTGTTGGTACTGGACCGTCGAACTATGAGTGATGCCTCGATCTCGTTCCGCCACAGGTTCCCACCTGCTCCCTGGGTGTCCCCGCGAACCACCTACGCCCTCGGTGTCCCTGTGACCCACCTGCACCTTGGGTCTCCCTGCGACCCACCTGCACCCTGGGTGTCCCTGTGACCCACCTGCACCCTGGGTCTCCCTGCGACCCACCTGCACCCTGGGTCTCCCTGCGACCCACCTGCGCCCTGGGTCTCCCTGCGACTCACCTGCACCCTGGGTCTCCCTGCGACCCACCTGCGCCCTGGGTCTCCCTGCGACCCACCTGCGCCCTGGGTCTCCCTGCGACTCACCTGCACCCTGGGTGTCCCTGTGACCCACCTGCGCCCTGGGTCTCCCTGCGACCCACCTGCGCCCTGGGTGTCCCTGTGACCCACCTGCACCCTGGGTCTCCCTGCGACCCACCTGCGCCCTGGGTCTCCCTGCGACTCACCTGCACCCTGGGTCTCCCTGCGACTCACCTGCACCCTGGGTGTCCCTGTGACCCACCTGCGCCCTGGGTCTCCCTGCGACCCACCCGCACCCTGGGTGTCGCTGCGACCCACCTGCACCCTGATGGTCGCATCACCGTCCTTATGATTGGAACTCGTGTATGATCCGTCGGACACCTGTTGCAGCCGTCGGCCAAGTCTGGGTCAAACCTCTCCATCGTCAACCCACTGCAGGTGCTGAGACAGCGGCTTTTGCTGGAGATCGTGAGACGCCGCATGCGCCAGAAACAGACTCAGGTGCGTGCCAGCCCCACTACGGCACTGACCCCTGCTGGGTTAAGCTCAGCCGGGTCAAAGTGCTCCTGGATTGTGTTTATACTGTCATTGGGCTGGTGGGCCGCCGCGCGACGGGCCTGACCTCCAGATGTTCTGCTACGGGGCGCCGATTTTCAGTGCTGTTTCTGATCATGAGTGTTAATATTTAAGCACATAGTTTTTGCACAGTGCCATTGCCGGTTTTGTTTTACACTTTGAATATGCACTTCACGGCGTGATACGACTTGTCGAGTCTGTCAGGTTGGGTATGACATGACAATGCTAAACGTCTGTCTGGCTGTGGGTTATTCCTTTCGAATTTAGAGCCTTCATGTTTTAACCCCGTTGTGGATTTATATTTGCGTCCATTGGCTTTGATTGAGGACCAAATGCTGACCAACTCACCGACTCGATTCACCGAAGTAACGCAGGCAACCGCATCCTGTCTTCCCGTAGATCAACGTGAATTCAGAGTTTCTGCACGAAATAGGAAAACGGCATGCTGAGCAGCTATACGGGCGGGATCTCTACCAGCGACGACACATTTCAAACTTACGGTGGGTCAATGTATGTCGCGCACGAACAACGAGGAGTAGATACACACTTTCGCTTGTTCCGTACATGCCCACCACTCTTGAGTGATTTGCCGTGGAATTTGTGTGTCGTAAAAATGGTGTAAAGGTGCAGTTTCATGGTCACGTTTTACCGCCACGATTTACTACTTAAGATGCCTTCTTTGACTTTGTGCAGACTGGCGCTGACAGACACTTAGAGTGTAGTTTTGTTCCGAAAAAGCTGCGCCTGCCTGCCATGTACACGACACTTCTTGGGCTGGTCCCAATAAGTGTCAGGCTGTCAATGTGAAATCAATTACGTCGGAAAATAGCTGATCATTTGTTCTCTTTGCAGGCAACCCACGCCAGCCCGATGAAAATTGAGCGCCAGCATGGCGACAAGTTGTGAAAAACAGGTACAGATTAGTGCTTGAGTAATATAGCTTCGTATTTTAATGTGGCTTTACTTGTAAAAAATGAAGGAAACCAGAATGGACTTGATATTAAAATCCTGTGGAGACCAAAATCAGCAGACCGTGCCATGTGCTCCAAAGTCTTAACAAAATGGAGGCAAAGCTTATTTGTTTACGTCAGCGGCATGACCCGTCTCACCAGCGTCGATCTTTCAGTAGGTTGCATTTTTGTCAAACGTATTCGCATCAGTGACTGATTTGTAGTGTGCTCTCTGACATGAGCACTTAACGACACGAGTTTCCAAACTTGAAACACGAAACAGAAAACACGCTGATGTGATGAAGAATCTTAATAATTGCGTGATAAACCCTCCCTGCAGATGATAGCTGAACGCCCTGCGAGTGAAATGTATGACCTAGAATGTGACCTTTCCAGGTCGTGTCCTGATGATCTCAAGACTCACTCAGCCAATAGTATATGGGCATCGTATCAGTATTTTCGTCCCATCTCCAATATATGTATATATACATATATGTATATTCCGAAGGCCTATTTTGCTACTTAACTCGGTATTAGTTCAGATCCTTCAAGCTAGGCGACTGAAATCACTTGTTTTGTTGTAACTCCCGCCGAGTCCCCCGCGAGCATTTGTCAAGGGCGGAACGTGCTGGAGAGGAAACAGCCACAACTCGTGGGTTGCATCAATTAACATTTGCTTCTGCGTTGTGTGCCGGTGCGAACTCTCCTGGCCTACCGGTTAAGGCGTCATAACAGCTCACTATGGAATAACTATGATGCGTTATCAGGTCTGTGTGGGGTCCTTACGGGTAAGGCGAAGTGTCGTCAGGTATCAATTATTTTGGCCCTACGAAACGACACGCAGGCTTTGTCCAAGACATTCAGGATTGGGTTGGCTCTGGACGCGCTCAGGCAGAGCGCCGCATTTTTGGGCAGGGTGGATATCTGCACAGATAAGAACGCGCCGCTCTTTGGGCGGGCCGCCATTCTCATGGCGTATATTTATTGCTATCATTTGTGTCCCGAGTATCGCTAGTCTGCTGTATGGACATGTCTCTGTATATCATGTGCTTTGATTTCAGGAAATACAATATAGTAATAGCAAATACTTTTTCCGCGATACCGTAGCATAACGCAAAAACTGGCGCGTGACTGCTGGTGGAATCAATAAACCATGCCTGGCTCCCAGTTCACCTTCGGGATCCGTGTATGCTCATATCTTGTCCGACCTGTCATATCCCAGACGCATGTCTGGCTTAGCTATATTCATCGAGAAATACATCAGGTCGTGCCCACAGTCTGTCTTTCACGGAGCACAGGACTGGGAACGATGCGCCAGCGCCCGCGCAGGGTCAGCTCCCGAGACGACCATGTCAGGCTTGACAGATCGGTCCACAACCCTCACAGCCCTCTAAGGTCCTCGTGAAATGTGGCTCCCTGCAGAGGCCAAACCGACACGTCTACGACCGCTGGGCACACTCGACGGTATCGACCATTTCTCAGTCGTCATGCTCATAGGCTTGCAATACACGATCATGCAATATATTTCTGCTTGTGATCTGTGGACGCATCTCCATCGACAGCCACCAGAGACAAAAAAAAAAACATTCAGATCAGCAGCGTGACATCATAACTCGTGTTGTCGTAATGCCGGCCAGCAGAATTGTGCATATGCATAAGAACAACAGAACGGCTTATCTCAGCAGATTTACTTTCCACGGGAATTGCATCCCACATTACATCTCATCCAACACACCACACAGCAAGTCGGCGCGTCTTCATCGACGTATGCCGATAGCGTGTCGCATCACATTGTCGTGCCGTCAGAACACAGCACAGCAAAATGATGTACTCTACAGCGGAATGGCACATGCCGTAGCAGAACAACGCATCCTACAGCAGAGCAACGCATTCCACGGCAGAGCGACGCATCTCTATTGAGATACTCAAAGCAGAAACCAAAACTTCCAAATCAGCGTTACGAACAAACTTGTGTAGTCATAACGTAGCAAAGCAGAACGACACGTCCCATTCAGCACGATAGCAAATGTTCCACAGCAGAACAGCACAGCAATGTGACGCATCTCCATCGACATACGCGTGACGTCAGGTTTCAAAATCATCCACAAAACAGACTCGCGTCAACTTTCAAGGCCGCTTCAGCGCCGCACACCGTCACTGAGCCTGCGCGTCTCACTGGACCACCGACCGGCACGTTCCTTTGTGCCCGCTCCTTCATGTCCCACCTTTTGGTCAGAGCCCAGCGGACCTGTGCACAGCACCGCGATCACGCCCCTGCAGCAAGAAGAGTTGCAGGAAGAGGTTGGCTGGGCGGCGCTCACCCCGGCCCAGTGGCCGGGCGAAAAATGTGTGACACCGCGAACAGCAGAACGGCTGCCACTATTCTCAGCACGTCCGCTACCGTCATCTCCACCTCCACGGCGAAGTTATCTCCCTGTCACGCCACTGGCCTCGGCTGCGGGTTGTTGCCTCCGACAGATTGGGAAAGGCCAGTGCGCAGAGCCGAGGCGTCCACAGTAACGGCATCTTAAGAAAAATCATACGGCAATCTTTTAAAGCGAATGTTCCACATTACGTAAGTTGTTAAGTGCATTTATGAGAGACATCATGCACATAGATAAGACAATAGTAATTACGTTATTCCTCGTCGAAACAAAAGCAGGAAACCCTTAACGTACAGGGCTCATCATGGGCGATTGTGCAAATGTGATATGCACTGCGACGTGTGATATGTGCTTGCTTAAAATAATTGACATCTATGAGTGATGCCTGACGCGTGGTGCGCTACACTTGTTTTAATTGTGGTTGTTTGCATGCGTAATTGATGCGTGATATGTCATGCCTGTTTACTTGGATTTGTTTGGATGTACACGCAGTTTTCGCGTATTACTATACACACACACACACACACACACACACACACACACACACACACACACACACACACACATATATATATATATATATATATATATATATATATATATATATATATATATATATACAACTTATTCTTAGATATGCGCTGTACCGTAGTAATTGCCGACAATCACCTCTTGTGCCATCCCCTGAAGGTTGGTGATCCATGAAAAGTGTGGCTTGCTGTTTACAAAAAGAAAACCTGAAAAACGAGCGGGATTTTTCATCGCTTCCAGGCAATTTTGAATTCACCTCCGCTTTTTGTTTCGACAAAGACATGTTGCCGAAATCTCAACGCATCTATATATCCATTCTTCTAATTTTTCTATGAGGAAAAGGCTATTACTACAGTCTGATTTGAATGCTTCACATTTATGGCAAGCAGCAGGGATGATGAAATAAGCTTAATTATAACCATGCCCTGCCAATTATACCATACTTTTGCCTCAACGTCTCAACTATAACCTTACCTTGCACAACATTGACTGAAAGCCATTTGACGGCCGTTGTATCTGAAGGTCGTGCTCACGAACGCCAGGTATGAACGACTCGACACTCATAATTGTCTTGGTCTTGATCAGCGCATGCTCAGCGGAATAGCGTCATTGTGGAGTCATAGATGTCTAGGTGACCTTGGAATAGTCCCCCAAAATTAGTCTGCACATCTTCGCGGGCGAATAGCTAAACAAATAGAGGTATTAGGAGGGACAGGGCTGTGAACTGCATGCAATGATGTTCAAGATAGTTATGTCAGTTCGAAACCCTATACAAATGTGGAGCACTGCCTTTAAAAGCAGGGTGCGAATGACATTTGACTTCAGCTTCAGTTTAGACGTAAGCGATTACAACCGTCATAGCCAGGACTGAACGCTTTCTGGGGGGGGGGGGGGGGGGGGGGGGGGGGGAGGGCATGAACGGTGGTGCCAGAAAGGCGAGATGGCGGCCAGGGGAAATACATATATTACAGTATGTGGTATACACGTCACCGCCACCACCAGGGGCAAAGGAGAGGGGCAACACACAATGGGAGGACCTGGAAGGACACCACGCCAAGAGGACCGCCCCCCCCCCGTCAGACACACCAGCTCAATAGGAGGACCTGGAAGGACACCACGCCAAGAGGACCGCCCCCCCCCCCCCCCGTCAGACACACCAGCTCAATGCATTAGCCTAAAGTGATTAGATGAGCCACGATTCACAAGTCAGTGAGTCAGTGAGAGCATGCACGATTAATGTTTTTCCTGCGATAAAATTATCTGCATCGTTTCGAGATGGGGAAACCACTCAGCCACAGTATCACGGCGCATAACGACAGCAAAGCTTTGCACGATGCTGTCGTCCGGTACTGATTGTGGTGTTCACAGGTATGAACCATCAAATGCTATATATAACATAAGCACATTTCAGTGACAGGTAATTAGGAGAGGATCCAGTATTTCGTCGAGGGAGGGGACGAGCTAACTGTGGTGTCCACGGAAACATCGTGCCTTCTACGTAAAAAATCCTTGGATTTTGACCATAGTCACGATAACACGGCTCAAATAACTACCCATCCAATCAAATTGCCAAAATATTCACCCCGCAATGTTGACCACCGCAAACTTTCGTCACGGAAATATGTCCATATAAAAGGAAAGGCCAAACTAACTTGGTTGCTTTTGTTTGACCTTGAGCGTTTCTCAGAATTCGAGATGGCGGCAGCCGCCATCTTGCACGTTCACCAACTTTCTTATTTTGATCTAGATGACAGATCGTCGCGTAATATCTCTTAACGGGAGTTGTCATGGGTGGCGGGTCCATTTCTGGACATTTTTTTTGCGCTACGAGGCCTAGTTCAACGTCGAATCACAGGTCAAATCTGCTGCCGAGACGGCAGGCATGGTGGTGGAGACTTCGATGCTCAAACCAAAGGTGGCAGCATCTCTGGCTTCTCTTCTTCGGAGAAGGCGGGGGGGGGGGGGGGGGGGCAAGGAGGAGGGGATTCACCGAAAAGATTCTTGGGGGAGGGGCTATAAGTGTAGTGGGCCAGTCGAGTCTCCAAAGCTTTCAGCCAGGCCCTCTGCGGTCCCAGGAAGTGGTCAGACGACACGGCACGGCAACTGACCGAGATCAACCAACATCTGAACTGTTGGCACCGCGGTTCACCACGCGCCCACATCCGCCAGCATTTCCTTCCTGTCACCCTGGGGAAGGTGCTTCATCTGCCTCACATGCCAGTTCATTTAGCGAGCGTAATTGTGATGACCTGCCACGTCGAAATACAGCAACGCTGTCTTAAGACAGTTCCTTTAAAGGAGGAGGTTGTCGTTTCGCCCTCGGCGCAGGAGCATGAGAACCAGTAGTATAGGCTTGAAAAGGCATTTCACTCATATTCTATTGCATATCATTGCATATACTCACATGCATGTCTTCCACTTCCACAGTCATACAAAATGCTGCAGCCATCAGAGCGCTTTACTAAAAAATAAAAGGAAAATTTTCCATGTGGTGAAATGACACTGCAAACATGCTGACATTGCACAAGGCTGGAAACATGACAAGTACATGTAATTATGGTTGGATGGGCAAAACGTAAGGGAGTGATGAAGTTGCCAGTGCACACAAGGCTCATGATAAAACATTACTAAGTGCTATCCAAGACACCAACAGCAATCCTTTTCCACCTTTCTCAGCACCCAGCGTCTCACACAAGTTGCAGTGACTATGGCATTGATGGCTCACGAGCAATGCTCGCCTGCATACAAAATTTGTGAAGACAGCACAACGTGCGTCAGTAATAATACAGCTCCATCTTTCAGAATTCTTTAGAAAAAGGCAATTTTGCAAAGCCATATGATGTGAGCCCATACTGGGCATGTGCATTAATGATCTGCTCGCACCAGCCCCTCCTGCCAAAATGAATTGCTAATATAAGGACACGCAATGAAGTAATTGCATGCTGTAACACCTCAAAAGGTTCAAAATATTGGTAAGCTCACAATGAAATACCAGCTTGCCTTTGTACACCCCTGCGATTAAGTACTTCTCTTAGTTTGCCAGGGCGCCTCTGTCATGTTCAAACACAAACATGAAGGCAGAGACAGGTATGAATTTATCACATTTTATTGGGAGTCAGTAGACTTAAACGATATCAAAACAATGTTTTCTCTCCGAACTGCAAACTTTGCACGCTCACTCCCTAACACATCAAGATCAATACAAGCCACTGGCACACACCACCAGTGATGACACACATTTCAAGCCCCTGATTCACAATATTTTCTGACTTTTTGTGTGATCTCACACTGGCACAGCTCGCGGAACTATCAAATTGCAGGTTTTCTCGAAATTTCCGCACAAATTTTCA